GTTCTTTCATCGTGGTTTAGGCACGCAATAAAATTGTGTTTATTAGTCACGAGTGTTCACGGCCACATTACACGGGATAACTTAACGTGCACGAACATTGAATCGTTAAATTGCGCGACGCCACTAATAAAATGTTTCGTAAAGCCTAACAGATAGTATCATGCCAGGGGAATACCACATCCAATAAAATATCAAGGCAACATACATACCTCAAGCGTGTTCAGTTAAATCCGATTGACACGCTTCTGAGTAGTTACATTTCGAGATCGTTTTTTAATGACGAACTTTGGTATCCAAATCTAAAAACCGCTAATTTAAAATAACAATAAGTTCTGAAACTTTAGTGTACAAACGAATACTCATTTCCAACCATTTATTATTGTAGAACATGCTCTAGACTGAATTTAATAAAGCTTAGGGCTACGCCCTATTTTTTACAACCCCCGACATTGCAAGGGCTGAATTCGAAAACACAATTAGACTTAATACAGAGGTGATTGTTGACGGGCGAGGGTCGCATGCGAGGGGTTACGGCAAATCCTTTAATTTGGCTCCTCGATCAAATAATAAAGCGGAGGGGCAGCAGCGATATCGCGTTTAGCGGTTTTATTGCGAGCACCATCTGCCGCGCGACGCCCTCCGATGGAGAGATAATTTCGTTTTTAGCCGGGGTGCAGGGCGGTCAAGCGAACGTTCGTTACGACAATTCACAAGGTTGTAGATGCATCAGATAGTACCAACTTTATGTGGGACCCTTAACTACTACTTGTATGCGAACGATCAACACTTTATAATTTGAAAAGGCAGAATGCTTTTAACAATGTGTTTAACAAACAGTGCTATAGCATGGTCCTTTTTAAACGAGGCCTAGCAAGAGTGTTTCACGAAAAGCAGCGGCTTGGCTATGTCAATGGCATTGCTTATTGCTGCCTTCAAAGACAATTAAAAAAACAATGCTACGTTATTTCACTTTTGAAATACTCGTAGATTACTTTTGAAGATAACAATACAATATAAAAACATAAATAAGTACTGTGTATAATTTGGTTTAATGTTTGCTTGTCGATGACAAACCCAATTAACCTTCAGCATAAAAGGGATAATAAATGTTTATGATATTACCTAGATAGTATTACTAATCACAAGTTAATTTAAAGAGATGGCTTAAACTAATCTGACGGAATTAAATTTAATCAGATTAATATTGAATTACTAATTACAAATAACATTTTGCAAGCTGATTATAAAATACAAAAGTTATAAACGAATATTTAATTGGCATTATTAGTTTTATATTTTATCTTTTGGTAGGTACATAATCCCCTTTATGAAAGTGGCACAGCAATTGATAGGGAAAACAAACAGGATTATGGACATGGCACAAATCCCCTGGTTTCATTATAAACAGTGGGAAGGCGGACCGGGCACGTGCTGTGTTTTTATCAATGAGCGCCCGAGGGTGCTCCGCCGGCGCCCTCATGCGGGTACCGCCCGCGCCACGTCACGACCCTACACTTTTCATGAGATTATAAAAAGTCAATCATTATATTAAACATGTTGAGACATCAAACGTACATTGATGTATTCAAAATTGAACTGACTAATGACATAACTCGATAACTGTGATGTGTGATAAATATAAGTGATAAAGTATCTAAATAAAACATTTTCTATCATTAATGAAAACTATCAATGGATTCAGAGCTTAAAAATACTTGCATAGTTTATTTACAAAAACCGATTTTTAACTTCAATTTGATGAACTAACAACTTCTAGATGCCTCTTTAATTGACTATAATTTGAAGAAAACAGAGAAAAATCAATTGACGTGAAAGCATACCGCAGGTAAATGGTGCGTGCATATAATAAATAATTAAACTAGGTTTACGCTTCATAAAAACATTTTTTGTTAAACAATTATAGAAATAAGTCTTCCCATATCTTGAATTATTCAGCAGTTTCGTTTAATTGTCGTTCAAAAACCTAAAATAAACTGTCACGGGACTTCTCTTTTAGTAGGGGGATGTGCTTGAAACAGCTCTCAATGGTGAGTATGCGTGCGTATGAATAATTTCAGACGCATCGGGGGCGAGCATGCCTCGTGCACGGAATCGCAATAACCCCTAAATGATTAAATTATACGGCCGAGCCGCGCTCCACTGTCGAAAGCGCTGGTCTTTTTTTCTCTACCCCACTATTATTCTAATTGGTGTATACGTGATACCATTACATTACACGAGAAACGCTTTATTGGTTAAGTCAACACAAACGGACTCATTAAAACGAGGTAAGCATTCGTTTAATGTACTGTAAACGCTCTTTCTTGTCTTTTCGTTTTTTTTGTTACTCGAATACCTCCACATTCCTCCGTGTAGCACCGGCTTTCAGTATCGTTAAAACGATGACAATATGTGTCGTTTGCCCAACTCCAGCAATAACAGTAAAACATCCAAGTCGCAAACAAATAATAACATCAGCGTATATTTTCAACGAGGTTCGATACCGCGTCATTGATATTTTATAACGAGTAGCAACGAGGGAGAAGCAGGGGTGCCACGAACGACGATATGTATTATTATTTATCGACAATACCAACCGACCCTATTGTTTAGCGACATTTGTGACACTCAATGAAAGCACTCTACCGTTATAATTTATTACTCTTCAAGCGTTGTCGACTGGTTTTATCAACGTTTATCAGCAAACATTTAATTACAATGACCGCGTAAGTAACCTACCGCGTCATAGCCCAACTCTAAATACGTAAACCGTTGCAATAATCGGCAGCGTGAAAGTCGACTCGGGCGTGAATAATGGCTCGAAGCTCAGAACAATAAGTCTCCGTGTCGATACAGCAACACAAAGACGAAACAATCAATTCACGGCGTAAGTAGGTGTGATTCGGCACGGTCTCACTACGGTCTGGCCCCGAGACTAACAAAAGAAAATCTAAGCAATTAGTCGTCGTCAGAAAGAGCGGAAAACACGCGTTAGACGCGGTCACGACACGACGCGACGTACCGGTCGGACGCGACAAAACCGACTTTATAACAACTAGGTACTCTACTCAGCTCAAAACGTAGGTTTTGGGCTACAACCGCATTTGTAATAAAACCAAGACATCTGAGTTGACACAAACGTCCCATAACACGGACCAAGTTCAGTGACCTTTAAAAAAACTAGTTAAAATTAGTATAGTTCAGGAAAATCCAATCCCAATTTTCCACTCCAAAAATATTTCAATCTCATTTCATCCAGTACGTTAAGCCAAGATGATTGTCACGCATCGCCGACCAAAACGCGCATGATACTGGAAATAAAAGTGTTAAAAACATTATTTGTTGTTCTACTACGCGCACAAAAATGCCGGAGGGGCAGTATCTGGTTCCCGCTCGACTGAGCGTGTTAAGTGCTAATGTAATAATCCATTACAATGAAGCGCGGCAGTGTACGCTAAATAGCGCATTCAAGCATTGAGCTGTCGGGTCGCCATCTGTCCGCCGCAGCGGCAAACAATACGACCCTATCTAATCACCCCCGTTGCTAGTTTGCCAGACCCTAAACAAATATTGCTCGTCGCCGTTCGTCGGCTTTGCGATATTATAAGAGGATATTCAAACTATCCTCTGTAAGGGTTCATCATTTTGCGCTATTTGAACACACTTTGAGTAAATATATTATTGTGAGAACAAATTTCAATAATTTCTTAAAAAGAAGGTAGATACAATTAATTTCAATTATCAACCTTGGAGCGGCAACGTTACACTATCAAGGAAAGAAAACACATGTTCCGTATTTAAAAAGTCCACGTGAGGAATTATTGATGTGTGAATCGAATTAGTGTTTCTTAATAGAACGTTGGAGCGTTTTAAATTGATTTTCGTTCCATTTCGAGGACGTGTTAAAGCCTTGCTATTATTAAAAGTGGGGTTCGAGCGTTGCGAGCGGGTCGGCGCCGGCGAGCGTAAAATCAGCAGATTACTGCGGAACCCCCGCGGATCAACCCTCGGGCGCACGGAACCCTCCGTGTATAATATCCATTCGCTGTGATATCTATTGTACAACTGTGGTTAAGGGTTTTCAACTCGTATACGTTTATAAGATGTAATATTTTATACATAGAAATGAGAGTACAAAACTAAAAAATCTACTAGTTTTATCAATCACACAAGAATAGCAGAACGGATTTAAATTAAATTTGGCGCACAGATTAATATAATATATAACTATATCACGCAGATTGACACATTTTTGTGGGATTCCAAAAACCAAAATTCTATTTATAGCGTCTCTGATATTTGCACTAAAAATATTTTATCGATATCAAATTTTAAATAAAGAAATACCTAGTCATTTTCGTTTCTACTTTTAGAATTAATAATAATCTAGGTATAATAAATTAATTTAATGCTGATATAAACAGGCATCCCTAAAAATCTACCCCTCTTGTGATTCCTACTAAGCGCCTGTAACTCACAGAGATATAGTCTCCGTTTTAGTCGCACGCATTATTTAGGGGAGTTGTTCAAAGCTGTTCTCCCCCAACAATATTTCCATCATAATATATTGAAATAAGCACCATCACAACATTACTCTACCACGCCACAACTGTATTGTTAGACAAATTATTATTTTACACGAGGGTGCGTGACCTGGAAAGGTGGCACCACACGACACGTCCAGAAATTTCATTGGTTCATACTACTTATGAAAAAGAAATAATACATATTTTAAAACAAAGCGTCAGTAACATGTAATAATCTCATTACGGCCGAAAATGTTGAGCGACAAGAAAGGACAAAAAATATTACATACGCGATCCAATAACACTTTCTTCACTTTCCATATACAGCAATTCAACTTCAAAAACATTTTTTGGTAGATTCAGAAAGGTTATCGCATAATTGGAATGTGGACACATTTTTTCTCATATAAGGTCACAGCCATTAATAATATTTAGTTGGTTATTGAATTATTCAAGAATGTAAAAAGTACATACCTGCTTGTGCATTTCCACGTTGAGTCCATATGACATTTCATAGTACTGAAACACAAACAATACGTATTAGTGGAATAAATTACTAAATAATGTGATAAAATGTCCGCGTGGAGTGTGACACGGAAAGCTTTTGGCACAGATTGGCTTCCTCAAATTATAGGAGGCGAGTGACCAAACATCCGCAGCAGCGCAGTTTGGACTCACGCCAGAAGTGTTTCCGACACATAAAAATTCTCTGAGAAAATTTCCTCCCGAGCGTATTAAAATAAATTGCGAACGATTTGGCAACACTTAATCGTGATTCATATCTGAATGGGTTAAACATTTCAGGGATTAAAGCATGCCAAAACACACTACACAACTCTGACAAATGCGCGCTTGTTATTGTAAGAAACGCTAAGCTCTCTACAGCGTATTAAATCAACAGTTTAAATAGTTCGCTGAATGGTCTTTATTTAGCTTTTCATTGTTATTAGACTGTAAATCTCATTTGCCGAACAAAGAGACGGTCAATCTAATGGAGCACATTGGAACCGTTGCGTTCGACATAATGATAGCCAACATTACGAGCGTCGGACAAAAGGATATCTTTTATTGATTTTACACGCCACAATGAGTGTTACATTTGATAAACATCTCTATTCGGCCGTAAAATTACTTGATCCCTCTAAACGTTCTTTTAATATATTAATAGTGACCATTTCATGCCATTCGTACAGTTGAAAAAAATACTCACCATAACATAATGCCTTTGTATTTCGATTTTTTCACTAGCCAGTTTTTCACATTCTAATTTTAAGCTGAAACAAAAAACAGGAAGTGTGAACAATGAAATGTTTAACCAATTTAATTTAACCCCAAATATTAAGCTAATTAGAAAGATTTACAAGAATGGCCTCCGTGGTAATTACATGTGATCACTTGAAGATAATTAGTATGTACTGACTTAATAACTAAATACCTCACAGACTTGACGTTCTATTTAAATACCACTTGTTATATTAATAAAGATAAGGAGTTTTATATCAAACAACCTGTTGAAACGGTTATCCACTTAATAGGTCAGACTTGTTATAGATTTTTATCGCTCCAGTTTCACTTCAAGATTAGGTAAGTACTATGCCAAACATGCGTATACCTATGTTATGTATTAACTAAGTACCTAAGTATTCTAATTAAACATCAAAGTGCTCATAAGGCCTTTAAACTTATATCCTGGACTTATCGTCATTTCCTCATAGATAATTGTAAACAAATCTAATACTTTCGATAAGTACCTATTATGAAAATATTTATTCTGTAAGCAAAATACATTAACTTAAAAGTGATTGAATTTTATTATGCATACACCTAGGGCAGTAACGAAATTGATACCTCCAAATCAGAAATGAATATTTAAAGTTACACACATACATGAAAAAGCTAAAGAAAATAAGACTTTTGCGTTTAAATAGTGTACCTGCACTGAATTATTATTGCTTATTTAGAAGGAAGTTAATAAATCTTCTTAAAAATAATGCTTAATTGTAATAGAGATTAAAAGTTTAATTTACATTTCATTTCTTGTTAATAAATACAAATTTATAATAAAATAAACAAATCAATAAAAGTGCATGTACACAGTATTGTTTTTACCCAGCCAATGTATAAAAAGCTAGTTTCTTTCACAGAAACGAAATTTGATGCTGTTTTCTTTTACAAACAACAAAAGAAGGTCAAAGGATTGGGAAATATAAAAAGAGATGAGCTCTCAAAGGGCCAGGTAGGGGATTATTTCGCTGATTCCCAAGGACAGGTACGATCCTGGATGATCTTTAGACCCTCTATATCATGTCAGAGATTTACTGTCGTTTTACAGATTTTTTGTGAGTCTTTAGTATTACCGATTTCTTGGGAAAACAAATTACTTCGGATTTTAGGGACGTTTATTTTTACTTTTTTGTTATCCCTTTTTGTATAATAAAAAAATTTAAAAATAAAAAGTTCTATAATTTTATTCTTTTGTACTAACAAAGATTGAATATTTGCTTATATTAAATTTTATTTACTAACTGCTGATTTATAAATCGAAAGAAAATTTCCGCCCGGATAGCGAAAGAAGAAGAAAGTTTCGAAATCTGTACGATGCCTGGGCCGCGTGGAATTTCTTCTAGTAGGTAAATGTTTCATAAGACAGAATAATATATTTTATTATCAATATATACATGGTCTGTACCTGCAGTGAACACAAACAGGTCACCACAAAAAAACATATTTTCTCAATCGATTTTGAACTTTATTATAAACATTCTTATGTATAAATAAATCCCACTTAAAACATTTTCATTTCAAATGTTGCCAAGACGTGACCATATGACTCTCACTGTCTTCGCACAAGTTTCTCACTCTACACGCCCTAACTCTACAAGAACTGACAGCACAAACTCTACAATTTAGACAAAATATATGGATTAGCCATTTCGTTACAGCAAGAACTGTATATATATGTTTAACAGAGAGGTCATGAACAGTGGATATTTTTTTTACCTTACGCCAATGTGAATAGCGCAATGGCCTACTAACATGCCCCAAGATAAATTTAAAATATCTAAGTCCGCCGTTGGATGTGCTCTTTATGGTAGAATGCTGGGAATACAAGTGAGAAGAGAAATTAACTTACTTATGATATTGCGCTTGTAGGAAGTTGAATTCCTCTTTAATCCTATCACACGATTCGCCCACTGTGAATTTAATGGGTTGTCCCGGTTGCGGTGGACCCTGTGAACAAAGAGACAAGACTGTCAATAAAATTTCATCACAAAACACAGCAATAAGCTGCTTTATTTGACCGTTATTGAATATCTCTTGAAATACCGTAGTAAAATCGTAATAGTTATTTATGATATTAGTGCGGTAAGTTGTTTATTACAATAAGTAGACGAATGTAGAGACGAACTGGAGGGCTTACCATAGTTACCAGTTTGTAATACCAATCCGCACGGATGTCATACAACGTTTTTGAACACATATGCGAGAAAACATTATAATTTAAGTGATGAAGAAATTTTTCTCTAATAAGAAAATGACGCGCATTTCCAAATGGCACCACGTGAAAATTAGAAATACGTCTTTTGTCTCTTTTCCTTTTTAGTATTATAGTGAGACATAAGTAGACTCAAAGCGCTTCCGAGGAGGTATGATCGAAATTAAAAAACCGTAAAAAAAACGCATGATGCCATGAATGGCAAATGTGTTGAAAAAGTCTTTTGAAGCTTCGCAAGCTTTTACAATCTACCTACCTACTTAGTTTACAAAAACGTCCATAATATTCATACACAAACTCTCATCAATCTCAGTCCCAGTTTAAAAACATTCTTATCACGAAACAAAAATTACACGCATCCCAAATTACCATAATACAAATTATCCTTTAATGACCATAATTCGGTGTGAGCCTCGATTAATAAAAAAACAACGTGAACAGCTCGCCTCTTAACATAAAAATAAAGCATCGTGAACACGCGAGCATGTAATAATAAAGTAAAAAAAACTAACTTCATAATAAGAAGCACGAAAATAAAAATAAAGCAAGGGACACAACACACGGACGCCGGGAGGCTGACGGCAAAAAATAAATAACCACCGCTCGGAGCCGGCGTGAGGAACAAACGGACTTTAAAAATAATAAAAGGAGCGTAAATAAAAGCGTAAAAGGAACTGGCGCGGCGTGTAGACGTTGTAAATGGAGCTGCGGACAATCGGGCTCCGGAAAAATGTGGCCGGGAATTTAGTGAATGTAACCACCAGGAGATAGCTTGCGGTCGCGCGCCTCGACTCGACACCGATGTCTCTGACTGTAATGCTTGATCGCACTTAATAACGTAATGGCGGCTACTAACCGCAGGTAAGCCCATCTTGTCTTACATTTATGAAACGTCATTAACAATAAGAAAGGTATACTGAACGGCTAGCTTAGAAAGCCTTTTAGGTTTTACGCAGATACTTTATGCATTGATAAAAAATTAACTGATATAGATAGTTATAAAAATCTGTAAGAAATTTTATTACTCAAAAATAACAATTTCGGTTCCACTTAAAAATTGGTTACAATTAAATTTTAACAAATTTATAAATAATTATAATTGATCACAATACATTAATGTTATTAAAGAGATTTATTGTGTACTTCCACGAACAAAAACGCGTCGCTACGAAAATGTTATAAAAACAAGTTTAGAGTGTGAACCGACTCAGGCAATTATTTATTCGTGTTCAATGCTCCGATAGCCGTATAATAAAAAGCAAATTGAAAGTTACAGACTAATGTATTTGGAAGGCAAGAGCAAAACGATACTGACAGTAGCCGCCTGAGGCGGGTGGCGCGGCGACCCGCGGGTGAGCGCTCGTGTGTGGCATGCATCATGTCGCGCCCCGCACCAGTCGTGTACACACACCTTTATAACTAGCTTTATAGTATTTTTTAAAGCAACAGTGATAACTAGTCATGTCATATGAGACTAATACTCGGTTATGATAAATACTTCTAATAAATGAACAGCAGCGAAATTACCAAGTAGGTAACAGTTTGGTACACCAATTCATTTTATTCATACATTCGATTTTCCATTAGAATCTTAAAAGTAAGAAATAATCAGTTCTTAGATACTAATTAAGGTAAGGTGATTATAGTTACAAAAAACAAATATAAATATATTGCATATCAAGTTTCGACAAGCGCGGCGCCAGCCCTGCGACCGCAGGCACTCGGCTACATTCATCGTCGCATTTTATTTTATCTCCGTCAATATGTTACGGATCGGTTTAATTATTTGTTTTATTCACTGTTATCTCGGTTTTATCTGCGGCCGCTAATGCGAACCGCGTGTTATTTTCGCTCTCCGCTACATGATAGGGAAGTGTTTTATTACCACCATTAAATAATTTATTTATTAAATAATACCACAAATGAGTTTATTTAAATGCGGTGTCGAACTGTCGATGTAAAATAACCTATATTACACGTGTTATTATTTATCACGAAAAGCATTTTAGTTGGAAATTTATAGATATATTTTTCTTGAAAAATCATGTTCCCAGTAACCGGCAACTGTTCCAAAATAATATATTATGTCGACGTTAGAGCCGATCACAAAAGAAACGAAAATAATCTCGGCAATAATAGGCTGAGTAAACGTTCCCCTCAACAAAAAAACTTTCTCATAAATTATCGCCGAAAAGGTCAAATTAAAATACAATGAACAGTTTTTGAGTGGCAGTATTGTGTAGAGGGCCCGGATGAAAGGCCCGCATCCAGCCAGCGACGGCGACCACTCACAAAAACAAAACTAAACAGTATGCGCTTAAACGGATCTAAAAAGAAATAAACGTATTCTTATTTCAAATTATTGAATAATTCCATCTGCCCACGTCTACCTGGTACTCCTGCCTGAAGTTCTTTTGCTTTTACTGGAGTTCGGATTTGGACGATTGAATGAATACTGTCTGCCAGTTTTTTTTTTCATAATGGCGTCAGTAATTTAGACTACGTTTTTATAATATTTACACGCTTCGCATTTGTTAATAACTGACATCAACCATTTTTAGATGCAGTTAACTTTTTAGACAGTAGCATGAAACTGACTGATAATTATGGAAAATCTTTCACAAAAATATGTTAGAGCACATTAAAAATACCTTGTTTTCAAGACACTGAAAATAAATTCGATGTCAACGTTTATTAGTAATATTACAGGTTTGCCAGTTACACTGAGAACACAAGTTCAGCGGCTCGGTAAACATCTAAACACCATTCGCACTTACAAACCAAACAGGCATAGACAAATATTTGAACATCGAGATTGCCTTTGAAGCATAAAGCCTTAACGCTTGACTGATTCAAAGTAATTTCTACTCTAACACAATAAATTAAATGTCAAAATGCGTGGTTCAAATTGAATTTTATTATTATTGTCGTTTGACTTATTATAAACACAATGTACTTCAAACTAATTGTAGTAGCCTTTAGCTAAGGGTTTTGAACAGAGATATTGTTGACGTGACAACGTCTTAAATTAGGTTGCGGCTGGGAGTCACTTATGAAAAAGTGTAACGCTCGGTAACGTTACGATGAGTTTAAGTTTACATGTACAATGTTTTAGTAAACAAAATATATTTCTATAGTTAAAATTTGTGCAATTCTTATTTTCATTCAATTCCTTGTTCCTATTGTGCAATTTAATTATATTCATATCAATAAATATTCTACCGAGAAAAAGACGTTGTCACGTAAAATCTTCGCCCGTAAAACCGACTTTACAGGCAACCATAGTAATATACATATATCTGCCTACAATATATTGTTATTTGTGACTCATATTAATCAATGGGCTTATACGTTAACGTAACACAGATTGGTACGAATAAAATTCTAAAACAGATAACTAATAATAATATAATTAATTTGATTGTCAACGCATTTCTTGAACAAAAATTGGCTCAAAATTTTATAGGATATTGTCTACGCAGTGTGTGCGAGGCATTTTTCTTGGAAGATGGAATCTTGATTGTTGCGACGAACATTGTTTGCGCACTCTAAATGGCTTGTTTGCTGATAACCTGATATCTCACGGTCTCACTGCGAAATAATTCACTAAAAGTGAATGTAGACTCAAGCTACACTTATCAAATTTGATAATCTCATTTCACGAAATACATTTTCATTGATAACGCTGCGTGATATTATGATAACAGTATTTATGAGCTGGCGTAGGTTATGTATGATACATACATACATTACTGCCATTTCAAAATTCTGATAAAGAAATATGTTACCATTGTTTGAAATGGAGATATAATTCACTCGACTACGCTACGGTGTGAAATTAACTAATTAATTATGCAGTCCTGCTGCTATTTGAAGTACAGAGCAAAAAAATACACGTGTCGGTCTATTTAACTGGGTTTTTCATCCATGTCATTCGGTAGGCGTATGTGAAAATAATCTAAACATGACTCTCCCGACAAGGTATATCGAAACGCGGATATTAACTTTGAGAATGGAACTATTCAATTCGAATACACGAAACTTAATGCGAGTAGGTAGTAAAGATTCTGCATTTTGGATACACGATAAAGCACCTAACAATATTTGAAGAAACGCAGAGTATCTTGAAATGACTCGACGAACGTTGACGGTGTGTTATTTGTTATAGCGGTATTACCACCGGGCAAATATTGACCGAGCTAGATGCGACACGGATTTTGAGCAAATAGGCATTTACATTAACGCCTCCTCTTTCTTACTTCGACATTTATTAAAAACTCAGTACTGAGGTCGGAATACTTTTCAAGGTTTTTTTTTAATTCTAAACCGATCATGATGTGACACTTATTTTCTAACTTTTTGAACAGTTAGCATTTACACCTGTTATGTATTGGAACTCATTCAAAATATTAATTAGGAAGATAAAAACAAACAAAACCACACGTTGTTATTAAATTATAACAAACGCCTATGTTGTCACCCAATGTAACCTGGTGTTTCATAATAAAGCATGATTTGATTAGATAAACGCATTAGGTAATACAAGTAACCTTCGTGTGTTACTTTCACAATCAGGGTTGTTATTATCTCTAGTTCAATAGTGAGTTTATAATGGTGACAAAATGTCAACAATAAACTTGTAAAGAGGCGATTGCACGAGAGCGCGTGGGAACGAACGCCGCGATAATCAACCATTACGGCGCTCATATAAATGCTGTCTACATTATAATCACTGAGATCTGCCAATCTGATACTGATATAATGAGTGCTAGAAAGTATTAACATAAATGAATATACAATTACATCTACCTACATAGCGCAACGACTCTCTTCAAATATTTACTTCAGTATCAATATCCCACAAACTAAGTCTGAAGAAACAACCATTCTCTAAAGTCTAAACGTTTAGAAGTGTTTAGAACCTAGAACTAATTGTGCTAAATTATAACTGGCGGTTCTTTTGGGAAAGTAAACTCTTTTGTTTCATTAAATTAAATTTAAAATTTCGTTTAATTTAATATCAGTAGTTAAGTTTGTAACAAAATCATTAAAATCCTAGCTAATAAATGTCCTGTACTTATGGTGTCTTTAATTTTCTCCACTTCGTTATTCAGAAAACGCAGCGACATATGCACTGCAGCCTGCGGTTAGTGCAATCCAAGTGTTGTCTTAACCATAAACTGGCCTTATTGACACAGCGAATAAGGTCTAGTTTTCATTAATGCGTGTTTTACCTCGATTTGATGCGCATCTATATTAAAGCCAGAAATCCAAAACTTGGTGTACACCGAACACCTAAATCGTAAAACACTCTTATTACTTCCGAAATTTTGTGCTATTTTAGAAAACGGGTCTTTAATTTTGAAGTAGCTTACGGAAGTCTTTTACACACAGTTTGAAGGGTTACCGAGTACCTACTTGACAATGATCCTTCTCGACCGACCGACGACGGGTGTATCGCCTCCTCAGAGGGTGTTCAAAGCTTCCCTACACTTGTTTAGAACATGGAAACAAATAGGCAATCGATTTAACGATATTTAACAAATTCCTTTATGTTATTCTTTTATTTGGAAATAAAAGAATTCCTTTAGTCAGCTCCAAAGGATCACAAAGGCACAGCTGTAACCATTTTTCCAGATTTTTCTGAATGACATTATTCTACATAAAATGGAATTACAATAATGCTACCTATGCTACACACATTTTGATTCTTTTCTTCTCGCGCTGTGATAATATTTTATAACCTATTGATCATTGTGTGTATTTTTGGAGAAGTTCACTGAAATTTCATTGAATATTGTGTGTAAATTATTGCTTAGATAGGACAGAACTTTAAAAGTACGAGTGTTTCTCACCGGATGCCTAGCGGCCGCCACGGCAGCGGCGGCAGCAGCGGCGTTCATTGCGCCCGCGCTTGGATACATCCCCACGTCAAGCACACGCGGTCATCATCAGGAGCACTACCAGTAAAACAAAACACCACACACTCCACTAAATTCACAAAACCAACACAAAAGAGAAGTAAGCACGTATTCCGCACGGTTAGTCACACGCGATTCACTAATAAAATCCACAGCACGTCTAATACAAACAGCCGCTACGAGCAAACTGGCGCGCCGCGCGCGAGACGAGAAGGGGGGCCCTCTCCTCAACCCGGCGGATCCTTCGACCCCTCGCCTTGCTCGCATGCCGCTGCCTGCCATACATATTTTCTCCACTCGAATTTTTCGTCGACTATCTTCATGTTTGAGGAATACTTTAGCCGAATCGAAGATATATACGCTCTAATAGATACGTATTATTTAGGGATTTTCCTTGGGGTGGGATGGGGTGCGGGTGTCAGTGTCACGGTTTCCACGATGTTGCTTCTCGCGTTATTCTATTATAATCAGGTAGTATATAGGTAGGAGTTTCATACGAAACCAACTTGACTTCAGACGTTATTTATTTAGATTGCATTCTTCAGGAAGCAAGAAGCATGTTCAGTGATTGAGTCACAAAGCCACACAATTATCACATGATTTTCTTTGAATGAATTAATAAATAAATGAACACTCATGTAGATTAAATAAAAAAGGATATTTTGAATTATGAATGAATAGGGATAAATACATATTTATTCTTATTTTACTAGGCAAGGGCACAGAAAGTAAGTAACAAAGATATACATACCTACTTATTAGTAAAAAGGTAAAAGATAGTAGGTACCCAATTTACTTACCTTTTTTACTAATCTCAAACAAGTTTCTTTAGACTCAAATGTAACAAGATGAAATTGGTGTGCAAGCAAAGAAATAAGATATAAAGAAACAGTTTAAATAAATTTACCTACATGAACAGAAATGGAGCAGGCAGGGTGTGAACGTTTCGGCAATTTTCATAGTAATTGATACCTACAGTATATTGCCTACTTAAAGCGGCCGATCGCGAAACTTTCAGTGCCCCTATATTACGCGTGCTAGGGTTGCCTCTGCCTGGCTTGTTTACTCGACCATGCCCTACAGCGGCCCTCGCCTCGTGTCTAGACAGTAAAATGTCTTGTAGTCGATACTCTCTGGCAGACATTTTTATTTCTTTTAATATCTGTCCTTTACGAAGTAATCACAGTCATAATAGATCAGAAATAAAATGCCAGGATAGATTAATTTCTAAAACTGATTTCTTTCAGCTAACCCATTTAGATATGTAGTTGTGATTTGGTTCTATGAAATTTAAAAACATTAAGTAGGTATATTTTCTTGATGATACTTGATAATACTTCTTCATTACAAAGAAAGCACTGTGGTTTGTATAAACTAAATGAACACCAATAACCTGGTATTATACTTCTGTGATTCGCCCTTCGAGATTACATTGACACACTTGTAGTAGCACGCCTTATGTGCTGCCATCGTACACAATTTTAGAGCAACATTAACCTTTGCCTAAAAAATATAACAAAAAAAATATAAAATATGCGTTCGCACTGGGGGTAACTCCACATATTCATACACGTTTTGTGTCGCGGCCATCGTGCACGTAATTTTGCGTTTGCGTTTAATTTATTTAACTTTTATGTAATAATGTTACTTATTTTTTTATATTTAAAGTGCGAAAAAAGTGTATACAGGACTTTAAATATCTGAATATTAAAGATTTGCGCAAGGTGGAAAATTAAAACCAAAAAGAAGTTTGTTGGATTCACACTCAGAGGTACTTACATTACATAAATCTTTAAAAATACAAAGTTCAAGGTGAAATTAAACAATACCAAGTACCTAGTTGCTATAATCCGATGGAATCATCATCTTCCAAAAATCTATTTACATCTTGTAAAGAGAATTATTAGATTGTAAACTATATTCCTTTAACATGTTTAATGATGCGAACAGCACAATGGGGCTGTTTCCTTCACGTACTTCGACATTACAGAAGTAATGACATCAAATATAACCCTTCGACTTATTTTGTGATGCGAGCAGTACATGGGACTGTTTCTGTCACGTACTCGGACACTATAGAAGTAAATAACATTGAATAAATTGTGCAACGTAAAACATGATGCAAAAGCCTTTTGGAATTATTAAATTCATAAAAATACACTTTTAATTGTGTTAACTTGTGGTAAGTAGTGTTGCCTGTGATGCGAATGGTTTTTGGGATCATTTCCTTCATAATAATACATAAGTAATATGTTATGTAAACTTAGGAGTGTTCACTGTGTGATGTGAATATTTTTTTGGGATTATTTTTTTCACAAAAATATTTAAGTTATACCTATATTAAATAAAATTTACTGCTTCCTTCATGTCCATCGAAATTACTACTCGTTAATTGGGCATTTGTAAACTATATTCTTTTAACATGAACATGTTTTGTGATGCGAACAGCACAATGGGGCTGTTTCCTTCACGTACTTCGACATTACAGAAGTAATGACATCAAATATAATCCTATAACTTATTTCGTGATGCGAGCAGTACATGGGACTGTTTCTATCACGTACTCGGATACTGTTGAAGTAAATAACATTGAATAGATTGTGCAACGTAAAACATGATGCAAATGCCTTTTGGAATTATTAAATTCATGAAAATACACATTTAATTGTGTTATCTTGTGGTAAGTAGTGTTGCCTGTGATGCGAATAGTTTTTGGGATCATTTCCTTCACAATAATACATAAGTAATATGTTATGTAAACTTAAGGAGTGTTCACTGTGTGATGTGAATATTTTTTTTGGGATTATTTCCTTCACAAAAAATATGGAAGTTATACCTATGTTAAATAAAATTACTGTTTCCTTCGTGTACATCGAAATTACTACTCGTTAATTGAGCATTTGTAAACTATATTCCTTTAACATGTTTTGTGATGCGAACAGCACAATGGGGCTGTTTCCTTCACGTACTTCGACATTACAGAAGTAATGACATCAAATATAACCCTATGACTTATTTCGTGATGCGAGCAGTACATGGGACTGTTTCTGTCACATACTCGGACACTATTGAAGTAAATAACATTGAACAAATTGTGCAACGTAAAACATGATGCAAATGCCTTTTGGTATTATTAAATTCATGAAAATACACTTTTAATTGTGTTAACTTGTGGAAAGTAGTGTTATCTATGATGCGAATGGTTTTTGGAATCATTTCCTTCGCAATAATACATAAATAATATGTTAAGTAAACTCAAGGAGTGTTCACTGTAATGCGAAAAATTGCAACTACCTATTGAACCTGCAATTAACGAGAAACAGAACTTAAACTCACCTTTGCGTTTTTCGCAAAAAACATTTTGTGTCGAGTGCCCAGCATCCTGCGAGCTGTTTCTCTGGCCACAGTTTAGGGTAAATTAGCCCAACAATTGCTGTTTCGTTGAACGGTATTTACACGGTATTTCAATATTACGAAGAAATGAAAATAAGTAATGTGTTACTTTGAAACAAATATTTTGAATGACGTAATTTTTAAAATACGTGTCGCCTCCATTTTTATCACAGATTCAAAGTATTTGGCACGAAATGTATCGAGTCAGCTTTTTCGATAAGTTTCTGTGAGGATTCCCCAACAGAAGAGTTATGACATGGTGACTACCTGCGATATCAACGAAGTCAAAACCGCTACGAAAACACAAGTTTGTGGAAGCGTCCACTCGACTCCGGAAGCTTTAAACTGGAGGGGCTCACCACCTATGCTGGCACTACCGGCACCTCAGCGCATGCAGCTGAGGTCCGGCCGCATCAATACCACAGGACCCACCAGCACCGCCAGTGTTTCCAGCCTGCTCCCTGCGCCGCTAGAATCAGCAGCCGTCACCAACACCAGGAGCACTGGGAATACTCAGGCTGGTAGATAACATTCTTTTAATACACATATAATTATTGGCGTAAATTCACTAATGATCCTTTTGTCTTCCTGGGTGTCCGGACTACGTATTCGGACATCCGGCAGTTTCTTGGCCTTTGCTAACTGCTCTCTAAATAAAATCGGTTTTTAAAGCAGATGAATTGAATACCTATTAGTAGGAGATCATTGTATAAGTGTCGGCACAATCATTGTGGTGTTTGATCCCTATGAGGGTCAATTCTTGTCAGTATTTTTCTTATTTAAAAATGTACCAGTAAAAAAAAAGGCCTTTTTCGAAACCGAAAGGCATTAAATAATTATATTATACCTGATTATAACACACTAAGCTTGAGGGTTATAGAACTGCAAATGAAAAAAAAATCATGAGATACCGCCTTGTGTGTTCTTTAGTTTTAAAAGACGATTTTACGATTTGATCTACAGAAAGCTCTAAGTTTTACCTTTTTCGGCTTAAATATTGTGACGTATATTTTTTAAAAATTTATGCGACTCAAACTGCAATATTTGCGCAATGTAAACAAGATTACGAATACACAAAAGTTTATATTGGAGTCATTAATCTTTACGATTAACAGAAAAAAGTGTGGGTACGTAATACACCTAGTTCAACTGCATCCTTTTATAGCAAAAATACATAGATTTATCAACCTTTTTACTAGGCAAATCTTCGCCATGTAATATTGATGGGTCTGACAACCAAATACGTTCGGGAGACAATGAGATATACTTGCTCAAATCAGACTGCCTGTGGACAGCGGTCGAAACAAGAGAAACATTTTTGGTCTTAAAATATTTGCAAAAGACATAAAAGACTACGAAATACTCCTACGCATATATAATCTCACCGAATAGACAAGCATTCAGTTTCCTCACACAGCTTAAGCAGGGATAATTGACAGCAAAAAAAAACTTTTTCCTTGCATCTAATATTAGCTCCAAAGATAATAATAATATGATACGCTTGCAGAGTTAAGTATAATACACGCTGATGTGGTGGGAGCTTGCTAATGACGAAAATCAGTAATTTTGTAAAACATTAGCACAGCCTCAGATATAATTATTTGCGGGACGATTAATTAGAAAAGGATGAAGAACACAAACTGCCCTGGTGGTCACAGTACTATTAGGATACCGTTCATAAAACAAGGTTATTCTCTGGACGTCGCGGATATTATGTTAGCATCAATACCTGATAGCAGGTTGTAACAATACAATGCTCGTTTGAAACAATGTCACTGTTTTTGTGGATAAAATTATGTACTATTTTTTGAAACGCTGTGGTCTGGGATATCTCAATAAGAAAAAGAAAATTAGCATAAATGACAGCACAAAATCGGTTATGTCATTATTAAAATAAATTCAGAAATTATGAACAATATTCTTGTCAAATGGTTTTTGTGAAGAAATTTATAAATTTCATTCACGGGTACTACTAGTACTACTTGAATCCCAAGTAGGGTG